CGCCCCCCGCCTCCCCCAGCCGGCCCCACACTCCCGCCAAGCGCCGGCAGCTCCCCGATCCCTCCCCGGCGAGCCGCCCTAGGCCCCTGGGGCCCGGCCCGGAGCCCGCGTACCTCTCGCTGCTCAGGCGGGAGCCTCGGCCGCTCGGTCCCTCGGGGAAGCTCCGTCCGGCTGCAGACGCCGGGGAGGGGGGAGAAGGAACTTCAGGCGGGACACAGCAAGCGCCGGGATGCGGGTCCGTCCGCTGCCCCCCTCCACCGCCGCTACTATCCAAGATGGCCGCCAGAGGGAGGCGGAGCCGGGCCAGAGCCGGCTTCCCCTTCCGGGAGACGGGAGCGAACGCGTTCTAGTAGAGGGAGAGGAGAGAGAGCCTTCCAACTTCCGCCACCCCATCGACTTCCGCTTCCGGCCTATAGCTAACTTCCGCTTCCGGTTGGACTGAGACGCTGTTTGCGGCGGGGCGGGGCGGGGCTGGGCTGGGCTGTGGTCGAGGGACGGTAGTGTAGGCCCGGCTCCGTGGCGCGGGGAGCCCGGCCTGGCTCGGCCCGTCTTTGGGCTTCCTCCTCCTCACGACACAGGGACCTGCCGCAGAGCAGCGTTCCCCATTCCCAGCCCGAGCCAGGCCCCCGCAGCGGGGGGGTGACTGACCAGTACCCAATGGCGGCGGAGGGGGGGGGGGTGTCTCTTGTTAGTTTGCCTTCGGGTTTCTGAGCCCGTAGGGCCCCGTCTGTCATCTCCCCGCACAAAAACTAGGATCTTGGCAATTTTTTTAAGAAAAGGTGCAAATCTCACTTAACGTGACTCCAGGGGCTGGGGCTTTAAGGAAAGCTCGAGACGTGGCAAGACTTGCAAGCAAATCAGAATCCTGGCAGTGCCGCCATATTTGCATGATCCCGTTACATGGTGATGTCATCGTCATGTGCGGCATCATTTGTGCTGTGGCCCAGTGGTGTTGCGTTAGGCTGGCCTTGGTGTCAGAACGTTAACAGATGCCTTTGCCTCGTTGTGCATTACATGGCCATCATTGCTCTGTGGCATGATGCTGCTGTAGCAGGCTGGTGTACAGTAATTTCATTTTCAGGTGCTGCAATATCTACTGATCTGTGGTGCTGTTGCACTATGATGTCATTGTGCAGATACATTTGTACATGATGTGATGCAGTAACCAGGCCTCTATTACAAAACTTGATGCAAGATGAAGTATTTTACCGACCTGGATATAGAGCAAAAGCAGTTAAAATACTTGTGCAAATAGCTCACATCAATAGGGGAAAATGTAATACAAACCAAAAAGATTTCAAAAATGTGAAGCGAATTAATGATAAAACAATAGTTCTAAGGAAACTGTGTCTGTTTATGTATTTTAAGGACATAATTAACACAATCACCATTTACACACTTAATACCTTCACAAAATGAATATAAATTTCCTAAATACAATATCTGATAATATAGATGTTTAAGAGAAGAGGTTTTAGTGCTTCTGTAACGGAATAGCTTCTCAAATGCCTTTTATTTTATAATTACCACCTGAAATTATGCATAACTTCAGGCCATAATTTGTACTAGTGCATCAGAGCAGAAAACACTACAAAACACTTTTTTTTATTTTTTAGTGTGTCAGTTTATTTTGAACGTGCAGTAACTCCTCTTACACAAACTTCTCAGGACAGCCACATTTCCAAATAAAGGATAGAAATGTAAAGAGCCACAATACTAGACTTCTTAGAACATGTAAATGGAAACTTGGAATAAATGCTTCAATAAAGCATATACAAACAACTTCTCTTGTCAACAGGAAAAGAAGCCAACCAGGAATTGAAATCTCTCTTAATCCAAGGAAGATTTAAATATTTATTTAAGATTTTGTGCAATCGGATCATCTCACGAGAGGCGCTTCTCATGTGAAATGCTCCTTCTGTTGAAATCAATATCAAAACTGCCACTGACTTCAATAGGGCGAGGATTTCACCCATAATTTCTGCCAAGACAAGGACAGATATAAATTCTTACTCTAGTTTTCTTCCCTAAAGTAAAACCAATAAGCCTAACCCTGGAAATGAACCAAATGCAACTTCCCCCATGTATGCTGTATTTTGTCAGGTAGCAATATGACAGACACCTCCAGTGCCAGTGCACCTGAACCTTGCTAGGAGCAAATATTTAATGTCACAAAGAGATCCAATATGCCTACAATCATAAAACAATAGCTTAAGGAAAAACACATGCTTAAAGTTAACCAAAGGTTTAAATGTAATAGAAACCTTAAATCTACTTAACTTTAATGAGCAATGTTACATTTTTTAAACATTCTTTTTATTAAGATTTTAAATACGTAAGCAGCAGCACTCCACTGTTGAAGCCTGAGATTTAAAGAAGAGCAAAGATAGTTTGTGTTCTGTAGTGAAAATAGACAATCTCCTTGCTCTTCAGAATAAAGTGCCTTATCTCACAACACATGACTAAGAAAAGGAGCTAAGTTACATGTTTAAAGCCACAGAATCCATTATTTGGGTAAATTCTTCAGGAGACATAAGGAATAAAATATAGTATTGTCCCACCCTTTATAAGCCATAAAACAGAAAATTCTGGTAAGAATGGGATATGTTTGCTATCTTTTGTATTTCTCATAGTAAATACAGTTCCAAGTGAAATGCAAAACCAGAGTTGTTATATTAATACAATTAAATATCTCTGGATCCAAGAAGTACAGTTCTGCAGCTTTTTGTGTTCAGGAGAGTGAAGTGAAAAATGGAGAATAATTTATTCTTATCCTAAGCTGAGCAGCTACTTAATTTGAGAGTATTTTGGTAGTTCATTTCAGCTCTTCAGGCTAGCTATTTTTCCATTTTACTGTATACTTATTAACTTCTTGCATCTTTACCTTTCCTTTCATCTTCCTCAGATAAATGCAGCTTGAATAATAGTTCTTTGTTACTAAATATGTGAGGTTTGCCAAGCCTTGAGGAATTTCAGCTCAGTATATATTACATGACATGTTTTGAATGTGTATATTTATTTCACAACTCAGGTTAGTAGTAGTCATCTATCCTTTTCATGTGACAGAATTACTCAATCTGTGTTTTTAAAATAGTTTAGATGTTGTGGGACACTGTCCTTCTACTTGTTTTGAAAGCTTGAGGGTGAGGCTGGGTATCATGCTATATGTACTTTGTAGATATCTTTTTACTATCTTAGGAATGTCATTCAGCTTTGCTCTTTGGAAAACAGATGTGGAAATGTTTCTAATCTGCCTTATCGCCTAGATATCCAGCACTGATTCATGTAATACTCACTTTTCAAGTGTTCTACAGAAGTTGATTCAGAGATAGCTATTGTTTCATGTTAAGCATCCTTTTAGCATCTCACTTATTGTTTGGTAGATTTTATAGTAGTTGGAAATAGGTATGGAAATGCTGTTAATGTGCCGGAGGACTCTGCAGCAATGATCTGTCTCCTTTTTTCATACACAACTCAGCTCTGGATTCCTTATTACTGGCATTTTGCATGGTGCATGTCAGCGTAGTGTCTGGGCACACCCCAAATGGCTCAGATTGCCCTAAAGAGACTACTCACATATAGGAAGCTAATACTGTAGCTCAGCACCAAGACTTTAAAAGAACAGAGAAAAGGGAGACATTGATGATAGGTGAAACTGATCTGTCATAAATAGGAAAGCCTGAACATAGAGATGATTCTTAGTGTTTTCTCAAAAAGAACAGGAGTACTTGTGGCACCCTAGAGACTAACAAATTTATTAGAGCATAAGCTTTCGTGGGCTACAGTGCAAACTAGATACGATCAATTTAGGACTGAATAAGGACTGGGAATGGCTGAGTCATTACAAACATTGAATCTATCTCCCCTTGTAAGTATTCTCACACTTCTTATCAAACTGTCTGTACTGGGCTAGCTTGGTTATCACTTCAAAAGTTTTTTCTCTTACTTAATTGGCCTCTCAGAGTTGGTAAGACAACTCCCACCTGTTCATGCTCTGTATGTGTGTATATATATCTCCTCAATATATGTTCCATTCTATATGCATCCAAAGAAGTGGGCTGTAGCCCACGAAAGCTTATGCTCTAATACATTTGTTAGTCTCTAAGGTGCCACAAGTACTCCTGTTCTTTTTGCGGATACAGACTAACACGGCTGCTACTCTGAAACCTGTCATTAGTGTTTTCTGAGCATTGCTAGGTTTAGGGTTAGCTCAGTTTTTGACAGCAAAGAATTTCAGAGAGAGAAGAGTTGCCTGAGACTAGTCATGGAGAAATCCCTGGCTCTAGCTATCTGTAGCCTCACCCTTGGCACAATGAGCATGTTTATGCAATTCTCTGTTCCAAAGACCTTGATTAACAGATCATGTTCATCCAAAGTTTGGTCATTTATATCTTACTAATCCTGAAATCTTATAGTATATCTCACTCTGAGTAAGATAGTATTTAACTGGCATAACTGTCCTTGTCTAATTTGGTCTCTTATACACATGCCGCTGCCGTCTGACACCTCTGCTTCCTAACTTATTCCTCGTTATCTGACATTGCATCTAATGAGCATATCCCTCCTCATCTTACCAACATCTTACTACTTGTATTATTTGTATTACAGTAGCAACCTAAATGAGCTTGGTATTGTACAGACATATATGAAGACAGAGCCCCTGCCTCAAATTGTTCACTTTCTATAGAAACAAAAACATGAAGGGTTGGGGGGACAGGGAAACAAAATAGAAGCTGAGTGGCCAGGGTAAAGATTGGCAAATGTCATGTTAGCTGAATGGTCACATAAGCTTGCTATCAAGTGCTTTTGCTGATTTTCTTTCAGAGAAAATGTCACCTACGTATGATACTTAATGATAGAACAATCTTCTAACAGTTGTCTTGGCCTATCATTCCTTAACCAGCACTATATCTGACCACGCTATCACCTAATTTAGCCAATGTAGTGCCCAATTACATTCTCAAGAGGAGACAAATGAGGCCTAGGGGTTGGTTTGGTTTTTCGTGGTGTTTTGCTTTTACTGCTCATCTCTGGAGACTTGAGTTCCAGTCCTGGTTGAGGTCTTTTAGGTAGAGTGAATCTGAGAGTCTCATCCTATCTCTGATGTTACAATTTGTTAATACACAAAATCACCACACATTTAGAAGCAGCTACTCAAGAAAGGCCCCGAAATAAACTACTAATGGGGTGGGATCATTGAGAGGTTGGGATTGAATTGACAGGAACTGGCAGGACTGGAGTAACGGGTTGTTACAGTTCAGGTTTTGAGGTGTGTGAGAAGAGAAGTAAATGCCAAAACATCTGCCTACACTACGTCTGGCTCACTTGCATAAGCACCAAACCTACACAAGCCC